TCCACCCTGCACCACCCCGCTCTGCCCCTTCGCGTCCCAGCCCGCCCCTCTCCACACCGTCCCACCTTACCTCGCTCCGTCCCAATCTGCCACGCCCAGTCCCTCCCCGTTCCACCTCGCCCCCTTCACTTGCGCCGTATCAAATGGTCGACATCACTTCCGCGGGATTAAAAGGGCCGTCCCGGCTCGCGCGCGCGGGCCGCGCCCTCCCATCCAAGTGGCCGGCCAGGTCGCGTCGTCGCAGCCAGGAGAGACGTTTCATCAGCACTGCAGCCGGCCGCTGCAGCCACAGGCCAGCCGGACAAACCACCGACAAATATCACTAAACGATGTTACCACGTTCTGCAGAAAGCACTCGGCTCTTCCAGATATAAGATTTAACCTTAGAGCTGAAACAATAATTTCTTCTTCGTCTTCAGCAACATGTGCTTCATCGCAAACACCATTTCACTCTCAGTCTTTATCTTCTTCTACATCAGCCTGGACTTCATTAATCAACGCCGGACTTCTTTAATCAGCTTTAATCAACGCCGAAAGATTTATCACCATCAAATTCATTGATATCCGCAGCTGTATCATCACTGTATTCTTCTTTCTCTGCTTGTTCATCGTTTTCCCAACTGGAATCAAATGCTAGCCAGATTACCAATGATCAAGTATTTTACAAATTTCGAGCTTTGCGGAAGGATGAATAATTATTTATATGAAATTATGAGATTTATATTCTTGGGTACGTTTGTCACAAAGGTGAATCTAATCATACTTTGTATGGAATTAGGCTGCTACTGCAGTCGTTTGCATAATCTCAAAGCAGAGCTTCTTATTCTATTCTTAATCTCCAATTATTATAACAATATTTAATTATGCTGTACTGATCATACCCACAATTTTATTCCGTTCATATTTAAATTGCCATTCGGAACTTATATTAAGCTGGAAAATATTAGTAGTGGTTTTTAGCTTAACTATTAGCTCAAAAAATTCTCAATGCCGAAAAATGTTACATAAAAATTAGTTTATTTTTCTCTAATAAGTCTTATCGAACAGTTGTGAATTGTCAGAATTCAGATGTAGATATTTTTCTCTCTCACAAACGAGTGCAAAAAGCTTAAATTCCGTATTTAAAATAATTATTTATATGAGGATTTATTTTGAATATTGAAATCATGCCTTCAACGCGACATTTTTCCCTCTAGAAGGCAACCATGCCGACTACCTGTCGCTAAAAGCGCAAGCCGGTCGTCGCAACGCACCCAGCGAGACGAGGCGACAGGGCGGATGCCAGCCGCGTCCAGCCGTTTCTTTCAGAACCAACCTCCCCCTCTTTCTCTTTTTCTCCACTACTCCTTTTCCACCGCCGCCGCCGCCGCCGCCTGCTCCCGGGACGCGCGCGCTCGCCCGCTTTGTCACCGGTCACTTCATTTACTCAATTACGGGGATTCCCAGCAGGCGCACGTTCGCTTGCGAGGCATCGCGCAAGGCTCAACCCTCTGCCCCGCCCCCTCCCACGGCCCCTGGAGGCAACGCGCTACAAAGGAAGCGATTTCGGCTCAGGGCAGATCTCACGAGGTAGATACGCCACGCCCCGGAGGTTTCCACTTTCTCCCGAAATAGAAACAGAAATATGTGCCTACGGTCTTGAATTTTAATAAATGAAAAAGAAGACCAATCGAAGAGATTAGGTCAAAACTCAGGCACCCGTCGCAAAATTATTTTTTTCGAATGTTTTAAAATTGCAAACCAAGTTACGTGTTTATATGATTTCTGAAATTTCATTTGTAAACATTTAAAAGAAAATATTATTTGTAATCGAGCAAGGCTCAACCATCTGTGCCGCTCCCTCCCAGTCATTCAAGGCCTCTGGAGGCAACGCTAAACAAAGGAAGTGATTTCGTTTCAGGGCAGATCTCACGAGGTACACACGGCACGCCGCGCCGGCAAGTTTCCACTTTCTCCCGAAATGGAAACAAAATATATGCTTACGGTTTTGAATTTTAATAAATGGAATGGAAGACCAATCAAAGAGATTAGGTTAAAAATAAAGTACTAGTGACAAAGTTATTTTTCTTATATGTTTAAAAAAACAAGTTAATGAAGGACTTCTGAAATTTCTTTTTTATTTGACAACATTTGAAAGTTAATATTATTTGCAATAGAATTTAATATTTTATAGGCTCACCAGACGTCAATTTAATTAACAGGCAATCAAAAATCAGAATTGTGAAATACTGGAGAGTATCGACAATCCAACATAAATGGGCAGCAGAACCGTCGATTCGAGAAACTCGCAGTTAGTAAGGTGTAGAAAAAAAGTCATTAAATCCAAAACAATGTTACTTTTACACATTACAATCTTAGTAGTCATGTTTTAGATCAAACAAAGACATAACAAAAATATGAACAATTACTTGTATATCATTGTTTCACAGTATTGTTTTAAGTAATAGTACAAAACTAAAAATGCTCAGTCATTTGACATTTATAGCATCAGTATGCCAATTGTAGTACAATATATAACTATTATACTATATAATGCTATATTAATAACTACTATAATATATAACCATAAGCAATAATATAGTACTTTATTGCTGTCCAAAATATCTAATTGCATCTTCTATACGTTTTACTCTATCAATATGTGAAATTCTGAGCCTCCACACTTGTATGTGATCTTCAATTTCGCTGTCATTGCAAAAGACAATGATAATATTAACATCAGTTATCTGACATTATCCTTCAACTATCTACATCTTGCAAATCTTTCTTTACATCATTGGATTTTTCCCCCTAGAAGTCGAATGATTCCTTGGATTTCATCTGTGCTGTTCTTTTCCATACGTTCATCACTGATTTCTTAATCTTGGAGCGTTTTGAGCACTTTGGATCGTCAGATTATACGAAATGACGGATAAGCAAGACTACTGTAATTGTTGGAAATTATAGTTTCATTTTACAGAACACATTTGAAATGAGGAATGTGCGCATTCTTAAAATTCAAACCTTAAAATCAGCTGTGCATCAATCTTTCAGTATCACTAAATACGTTACAACCTAGACAAGAACAATTGAATCACGCATTCGTCATAAACAAAAATCGAAATCTCTCTGGATCGCTTCGACCTCGTCGAAACATTCTGTTCTACTTCGCGCTACTACTTTCCCAAAAAATCTCCCGCGCGTGAACGATTTAAATAAAGTTGCATTTCCATCAGCGGAAGGCAAGAAGACACGACTCCAGTTGGGAGGTGACCGACTTCGCATCGGGACAAGGCGACTAGGCGGCAAGGCAAGGCAAGTCCTCGGCAGCAGGAGGAGCGGCAGTTGGGGCTCACATTGTCTCGGGCGGCGTGCGGCAACCGCCGCCAACAGGCGTGAAAAGGAAAACCCTTTTGTGGAAAGGGGAGTGCAAACAGCTGCGCTCGCAGCGAAAGGAACAAGGACGGGGCGAGCTCAGATGGGGGTGGCAGGTGAAGGGAAAACAGGGAAGAAGGGAAAGGGCGGGTAATGCGAGAGAGGGTCGGGGCGGGAGTGCGGAGGAGGGAATGAAGGGCTGAGGAGAAGGCGGGGAAAGGCAATGGATGGTAGTGAGGTGACGGCAGGGCAGATGTTAGATGGAGTCGGGTGCAAATGGGAGGGGAGATGGGACGAGGCGGGGTAAGATGGGGAGAGACAGTGATGGAGGCGAGGGTGGAAGCGATGGTGAAGGTGAGAGGCCGAGACGAAGAAGGGGTGATGGTAAGGGGAGCGGATTAGGGAGGGTGAAGACGGCGTGAAGGAGAAGTGGAGGTGGTGTGGAGGCGGGTGGATACGGGGTGGAGGCGGGTGGAGGCGGGGTGGAGGCGCGGTGGAGGCGGGGTGGAGTCGGGGTGAGGCGGGAATGGGAGGCGGGATGGAGGCGGGTTGGGAGGCGGAATGGAAGCGGTTTGGAGGTGGGGTGGAGGCGTGGGAATAAGCGGGGTGTGAGGGGGGTTGTGGCGGGGTGGAGGCTGGTGGAGGTTGGGCGTGGAAGGCGGGATGGATAGTGGGGTTTCGAGGTGGGACGCGGATGGATGCGGGGTGTAAATGGGGTGGTGGGAGAGATGGCGGCAGTGGAGAAAATGGTGGTTGAGGGGAAAAATGGAGGCGAATGAGATGGAAGTTGGGTGAAGGCAGGTTGGAGCGTAGTGGCGGGGATGATGGTGGCTGAGAGTTAGGGCGGGAGTGCAGAATGAAGGCAGGGTGATATAGAGAAACAGCAAGCAGGCGGGAGAGAGTCAAAGAACGTGGCGCAGCACGATCAGGACGCAATCTGCACGAGGGAGCGGAGCCGCAAGCCGTCAGATGACAACCGCGGTGATACAGGAGCTACGGAGTAAATGTGTCGCGCGCTTCATTGTGTGAAGCGGTGTGTGGGGAACGCATTGGACAATGCACGGGAGGGATTGAATGGCAGCATGTGGAGGTGGGAAAGGGCTCGAAGGAACCAGTTACGAGGGCGGCGAGGGCGGCGCGAGGGAGCAGTGAGGGCAGCGAAGGCGAGCATTACCAGCGGGTTCCAGCGAAGGAAGGAAGCAGATGCGGACAGTTGACCGATTTCGAAGGGGCCCGAGCTGGAAGGAGGAAACGACAACAGGTTAAATGCAGAGGGAAAACGGCACACACAAAGGGAGAGCCCAAGCAGAGTGACATGGAAGTACGGAAGGTGGTGACGATTGCCGTGGCGTGTGCGGGTGCGGGACGAAATAGTGCACGGCGGCAATGGCGGGTGGGAGGTCGGGGATGGCATGGGAGGTCGGAGACGGAGGGAAATTATTATTCGCGGAACGTCATGAGTAATGACAAACTGGTTTGTAACGGTCGCTGGCGTCATGTGAAACCAGAAAGTGCGGCGAGCCCAAAAACAGGAGAGCATGAATGCACAGTCTAAGAATCCAACGAATAATGAATGGTGTGCTATGTGTTGGTTTTGTTTTTACTTTTTTGTCAACGGTCCTCTGGGCCTTTTGTTTGTTGTCCCTTGCCTTGTCACGTGCCTCGACCGGGGGCGATTGCTTGTACTCCGCCGAATTGCCGGCTTGCATTCCAGCCCCTTTGCAAATCGAGGTTTGTGACGTTCTAATCACCGCACACAGCCGCACCGCCGCGCAAAAAACAGAAGAGGGATAGGCGAAGAAGGGTGAATCCGGCGGCGATAGACATAGAGAAAAAAGAGCCGCGGAAGGGAAACGGAAGACCAAAAGGAGCGCGGAAAGACATACTGTGGAGGCCGTGTGGCGGAAGGAGGCGGTGGCGCGGGGAGGGAGGGGAAGGGGAATGTCGAAAGACGGGAGCGTCTTGCGGTGATACTGAACGTCACAACCCATGACCGCCCCTCGACTTTGTCCCATCCAAGGGGTGCTGTGCGAGTTCATAATCGATTGAGTTCTAGACCTTGGGCATCAATGCTCTCCCTGTAATCTGCGCCCGCACTTCTGGTTCAACATCGCCAGTCGACGCAAACAGTGTTGTCAATTACTCATGACGTTCCCGAATAATACATGCCCCTTCCGTCTCCGAACTGGAGTTACAAAGCAATGGGCCTCCATGGCATTCCCGCCGCGTCTAGGACATCTCTACAATTCAAGGATGGAATTCAACACTACACCCAAGCCGCATTAGCAGTGCCGTGCACTTAATGTTTTCGCCTCACGTCCAGCACGTAAGCCGCAAAAAAGTTGCAAATCTGGGTAGTCATCTTCAGGATTCATTGTCTAAGCTCTGGCTTTTGGCTCTCCCCTTATCGTAGGTAAAGTCGCGATTTATCAACTTCACACAGCTTATTGGAAGAACTAAGTTAAAGTTGTAGAGATTCTGTTTGTTCTGCCTAGCGTTCTAGCTATCTCGTGCACACTTTCGAGACTCTGAGTTAAACATATATAATAAGCCTTGTTGTACGAATAGTAATTGTACCTATATCATACATGACGTAAATTCTTTGATATATCCATGTAATATTCGAAGAACTGAAATAGGGCGCCCACTGGCACTGGGATTTGTCAACTTAAAGCTCATATACAGATATTAGAGTTTTTGGAGATCGACTCTAGTACGACACACTATAAAATTGTCCTCGGCCCGCATGCGTAGAGCAAGAGGCCTATCGTAACGAAAACCATCTGAACTTTTGTCTCTCAATAGCTCGAAAAGGACACGAAACTGAAACATTTTCTATATTTTTGGCATCAGCAGAGAGTTTGAACGATTATGATCTACTGATCATGCTCACTCCTGCCATCTAAGAGTAACGAAAGATTAATCACTATAACTGAGAGGTGCAAAACTGTACATTTGCAGTCAACTGCTCCTGCTCAAGCACTTCTATTCTTAGAATTATCCTGTACTTTGCTCATTCTATAAATATACACATTTTAAACTTAAAATAGAGGAACGGTGCTTTCAAGCAGTCACGCTCTTAAAGTTAGATATGTATCATGTATTACTGCACGATAAATATGGTTTCTATAAAAACACTCGCATATGCTTCCACTCCACCCGTTCCACACAATGAAGCGCGCGAACAACAGTTGTACTCACTGAGCCCGATAGTATCAACCGCGTTGTCATCTGAACGGCTTGCGCGGCTGCCCCATCGTGCACGAGATGGGTCCTGATTTATCGTTGCTGCGCACGTTTTGACCTGCCTTCGCAGCACGCATGCTGATTTTTACCCTAGCCTCCCAGATATCCATGAAACCATGCCGTCGTACTATGCAATACCAACCATACGGTATACATCGATCACACCTAATTACACCAGCCCTTAAAATAACCTACCGCAACTGCGTAACTCTATTAAAACTGTCCGAAATGCGAAGCTCTAAACAGAAATG